ATGTAAAAGGATTCCTCTTCCCTCTGCCTGTATGAAACCTGCTAATTTTCCTCATCTGGAATCTTTTCCTCTTTTACCCAACACCACTAGTTCTTGCATTAATAAGAAAGACAAGCCTAGAATCCACTGATCCCAGCTGAGATTTTGGCTTCAAAGTATTAAGAGATGATCCAGACCCCTCAAGATCAGTGTTGTCTTGAACGAGTTCCCCAGCCTAATCCAGGAAAGGTGCAGTGTAATCTTTCTCTGAGGTTGAAAGTAGAAAGTATTAATTTCATGCAGAAAAGATTGTATCTCTGACTGACATAGGAATAGAAAATAAATAGCTATTAAATTACATTTGGCTGTCTCAATCTAATAAAGCATCTTCTGGATCAATAGCTGAATCATTAGCCAAGGCACATAGCAAGCTTCCCCTCTTCTCATTTGAGATGCAAGAAAGAGCTTTTTACATTACCATAATAAAAAAGAAGAATACTTTAAGTCTTCACAGGAAAAAGGCAGAAGTAAGGGGGAAAAAAAAAAACCCAAACCCCTCACTTTATGCCTTAAGCAAGTGTCATTTTTCATTTGAAACGTGTAATTTAGGGATATTGGGAAATTAAGGTTTATATTTAACGACTGTCTATCTGTCAGAGTTGCTGAGCTGTCTGACAAACCATAACCCTGAGTGTGTGACAGGAGTGCAGGAAGGGATGGGAAGGGCAAGACAAGGCTTTCACCCACTTTGTTCTCCTAATTAAAGCTCACTGGGGAAGAGTATATAAAAGGTGATGGAGCCGTTCCCCACTGAAAATGCAGTTTCATCAAAACAAAAGGAGATCTGCCTGTGCTGGCTGCTGCTGAGCCGCACACAGGACGTGAGCAGGGAGAAACTCCAGCCACATGCAGAATAAAGCAGGACTAAAGGATATGTTATCAGCCTTTCCAGTACTGCAAGCCAGTGAAGTCTATCAACCTGTGTAGTGCATACAGAGAATATGGTCTTAGGAGCTGGACAGCAAAAAGCAGACCAGAGAGGATACATGGCAGTATACATGGTTTGGGTTGGAAAAGCCCTTAAGATCATGCAGTTCCAACCCCCTTGATAAGATGATAGAGGATGAAGTTATCCCTGAGGACAGGAGGCATCGGGGGTCACTGTCACTCTGGGAAAGCAATTCAAGTGGTGGATGTATTTTTCCTTGGAATCAGGTTCTGTGTAATATATTAATTAATGCAGCACGATGGAATGGGGTGTACAGTTACAACATGTGTCCAGAGAGCAAACTGGGAACGGATACAAACAGTGCAGAGGACTGAATCACAATTCAAAATGATCTTGATTAATGGGGGCATATAGGGTTGCTGGGGATGGACTCTTCATTAGGGACTGTAGTGACAGGACAAGGGGTAATGGGTTAAAACTTAAACAGGAGAAGTTTAGATTGGATCTAAGGAGGAAATTCTTTCCTGTTAGGGTGGTGAGGCACTGGAATGGGTTGCCCAGGGAGGCTGTGAATGCTCCATCCCTGGCAGTGTTCAAGGCTAGGTTGGACGAGGCCTTGGGTAATATGGTTTAGTGTGAGGTGTCCCTGCCCGTGGCAGGGGGGTTGGAACTTGATGATCTTAAGGTCCTTTCCAACCCAAAGTATTCTATGATTCTATGAAATGATCTGAAGCCAACAGCAAAAGACTCCCTGAGGGGAAGTGTAACAATGAACTAAGAAAGGTGAAACCAAACCCAAGGAATCGATATCCAGTGCAGAAACTCTGAAACCAGGGTGAACTCCCCCGGATTCAAGATGTTTTGGGTTGGAAATGAAGTCACTTCTGTGCAATGTATTGTTACAAGGGTCCTGCTTGAGATGGAGCTGAGAATGAAGGCCATGTGGTTGGGTTCTGTCCCCCGATAACTGTTGGCTCTGGCAGCTGAGTTGTGTTGGAGGGAAGGGGAAGTTCTCATCCGACAGGAAGGTGGAAGTGTCCCCTCATGAGACGGCTGCAGTGGGAGCCCATCGCTTCGTTATCAGAGGGTCAAGCAGAAAATAGGCAAGCGAGGAAAGGGAGGGGGACTTTGCAAATGGCTTTGCCATGTGTTAATGGAAGTCAGGACATGCTTCTTCGTAGGATCCAGTGGGTGAAGCTCAGTGGGAACCTCAAGCTGCCTTGGCTCTGATTTGTGTAACACAAATCCCCAGCCAGCACAAGCTGAGTGTACAGCTCACACAGCGCTTCCTGGAGTGCAGAAGTCTGCGTTTTAATTCACCCTCATTTAATTGACTCTCATTTTGGTTTTGGGAAAAGCTCATTTGCAGACCATCTTTTCTGAACAGGGAAGACCTTAATAGCAGCCTTCTAGTACCTAAAGGGGCTGGTAAACCTGGAGAGGGGCTTGGGACTAGGGCCTGTAGGGACAGGCCAAGGGGAATGGCTTGAACCTGCCAGAGGGGAGACTGAGCTGAGCTCTTAGGCAGAAGCTCTTCCCTGTGAGGGTGCTGAGGCGCTGGCACAGGGTGCCCAGAGAAGCTGTGGCTGCCCCATCCCTGGCAGTGTTCAAGGCCAGGTTGGACACAGGGGCTTGGAGCAAGCTGCTCCAGTGGAAGGGGTCCCTGCCTGTGGCAGGGGTTGGAGCTGGAGGAGCTTTAAGGTCCCTTCCAACCCAAACCAGGCTGATTCTATGGGCTTTGTCAAACAAGCATTTCCGGTCTGCGCTGGGATCCTGCCAGCATCATCCCTCTGTTTTGCCATCAAATTGATCCATATTCCTGTGAGCCTTTACCTCACTCTCCACATTCCTTTCTCATTTACTGCTTGACTTCGTATTTGCTGTTAATTACAGTTCTGTCTCTTGGCTTTAAGAGGGTTAAATTTCTTACGCTGAAGTTTTGCTAGGGGCATTAACAGGTGGCTTAGGAGTGTTACAGACACAGCAAAAGGCCAATGTACAAGTACAATAGCAGCTCATTGTCCAGCCCAAATCTAAGGTATGGTGTTCATTGTTATATATCAACCAATGGATATTTTATCGACTGTTCTGTGGGACCTGTGGCTACCGGACACCTGCTTGGATTGAGAAGGAACCTGGTAGGATCTCACCTAACAAAAGAAAAGCATCAGGATTATGCCCCAAATAAGGTGATCAGAAAACACATGGCAAAGGTTCCTGAGAATGAGGCTTGGTGATGGCTGAGCTCAAGGAGAGTCAAGCTGGGAGACCTTAGCTCCTTAGAGCCCAACCTGCAGACCCATCATCTCCTTTGGGCCAGAGCTGTGAGTTCAGGGAGGTGTTTAGATGGAAAACCATCTCAGCAGAACAACTGGAAACCCTTGTTGTCCGTGCAGGGGGGGTTAGCTGCCGTGGAGCTTCCTCCTTTGTTACACGGATAGGTGTGAAGCAGATGCTTTGAAAACCTTCAGAGACAAAGCTTGTCAGTCTAATGGTTTCTAAAGCTTCGATAGTGTGGACTCCTTGGTGCTTCAGAGCAGCAAAACAGGGATTGCTTTAAACTTGGAGTAAGTTTCCCCCCCCTACACCCATCTCAGTTGAGCAGGATCGTTCTGCCTGTGCTATGGGATGAGGTGAGGATGCCGAGATCAGCCCATCCACGCACGTCTTGCTGAACCAGGGGTGTGCACTGTACACGCTGCAGGAGCTTAAGAACGTGGCTTTCAGGTTTATTGCCCCCACAGAGCTTTGCCTCGGGCCTTTCCTGGCAGCCAGCTGACAGGGCTCTTTCGAAGCACTTTGGTCCTCACACTCTCCCTCCGTTGGGATCTTTGTGTGGGTGAGAAAGGGAGGAACCGAAGCCAAAGCTTTTCATGGGGAGCATTTGCAGCAGAGCCTGTGGTTTTGCATGGGCGGGGATTTGAGCTGCAGGCAGCAGCAGGAAGCTTTATCTGATTTTCTCCATACCTGGACCGTGGTACTATGCAAGGTGCCAGTTTCCAGTGTAACGAGATCCCATGTGGGTTGAACGGCTTTGGAGCCAGTTCTATTCCCATTGCTGGTGCAATGAACGCCTGGCTCGGCAATGTCTGAAATCCACCCCTGCAAGAGGGGAGCTGTGTTTCCTCGGGGAAGTGAACACAGGCACTGCAAGCAGCTGCTTTCTTCTCTTGTTAAGCCATTTGCCAAGGCCGGCAGTCACTGAGATCATCAATTCCCTTCATTCCCAGCCTCCCCTGGCTTTTGGCAAGCCATGAAACCAGAATTCCCAGGCCGATGAGCCGTTTTCCATGCAATGTCTCTCAGTGTTGTCTCTTCACATGAACACAAATGACTCCTCCAGCACGTGAAGCTGTCCTGGGGGCTCTCTCTGACCCTGCTGTTTTCATTCTGAGTCCAGCATCCAGAGAGGAAACTCGCACCCATCCTCTGTGCCAGCAGAGCCTCCTGCTTGAGGAGGGTGCAGTTCTGACCCCCTGTGCTATTCCTGCTTCTCTGTGCTTTAACATCACCTATTGCTGGATACGCAGTGACCCGTCCTCAGCCTTGAGGTCTTTGTTCACCTCTCCTCATTTCTCCAGCCCTCGCACTGATGCTTGGCTTTGGCTCTATTGGCAGCAACCAATCTGATGCAACCTTGAGAGTCCTGCCCAGCTGATGGAGGAGGAGGAGAAGCCTTCTGCCTGTGCCACTTCAGCTCTTCACTGCCTTTAGGGTGCAGCTCTGGACCCCAACCCTGCGGAGATGAGGATAACTCCCATGGCAGGATCTGCTCCCATGGCCGTGGCTTTGGTGGGGGAGCACTGTAAAGCGTTAAACCACACTTGTGAAACCAGCCCAGGGCAGAAGTCACATGCACGAGGGAGACGCTGCAAGTTGGTGCTTGCAGCTCATAAGAGGCAGTGCGGAGGTGCAGGCTCCTTGCCTTGGTGAGCCCTGCCTGGTTAGCCCCTGGTGCCCAGGAGATGCAGCAAGGAGAGTGACCCAGAGCACAGGCTGGGGCTGTGGGGCTGGAGACCCCGCATGGGGCAGAGGGGAATGGCAGCAGATAAAGGACAGTGAGGAGGAGGAGGGAGCTGAGCTGGATCAGGTAAGCCTGCACCGGTTGCTCTGGAAGTGGAGCAGGTATTGCTGAATCCTTCTCTGCTGTTTAGCTGGGGCTTGGAGGGGTCCTATAAAGAAGATCCATGGCCTGAAGGAGGCAAGGTCACCAGAGATGTTGGCATTGCATAAAGGGTAACAAGAGGTAAAGAAACAGAGTGCAGGGGATGAGAGGATGCCCCTCGTGCTAGCACAGGGAGGATGTGGGGCAGACCCATTTCCACACACGGGCGGTTGTTCTGCAGTGCAAGGCCAACCGAGGTCTGTGCTGCACAAAGAGGTGAAAGCAAAGCTGCTTTTCCTGATGAGCTTGTCCTGGCTGGGGAAGGCTGCTCCCCTCCTGTGGGCTGGGGAGGGCTGAGCCCTGTCCCTGCTGCATCCTTCAGGCTGAGCCCTGATCCTGCTCTTGCTTCCTGGGACTGTCTTCAGAGACTCAACACTTCCAACGTCTAAGCCAGAGCGCCTTGATTCATCTCGAAGGTAATGACAGCAGCACGAGGTGGTAGGCTTGATTAGTTTTCCCTTTGTCTCCCTTGTTTTTTCACTCCCTTCTTTGCTGCTTTGTATGGGGATTTCTGCCCTGTTTTGCATTTTCCCTTCTGATTGACGCTAACCTGAGGGGATTGAAGGCAAAAAGGGGAAAATTCACTGAATCCCCCTTTTGATGCTCTGTAACATGGCTGCCCATGCTCTGCAAGGGAAATCTTGTCTCTACGGTGTAGAATGGGAGCTGTGCCCATCCCATGTGCACACACTCACTGCACACACCCCTTGTGCGATGTGCACCTTGGCTGATTCCTTTAAGTGTGTTTGCAGCCCTCTGCAGGCTTTTTCTACAGTCAAAGGGGCCTTCTGTGTTGTCAGCCTGCTCTAGGGGAAGGTGTCCCTGCCTATGGCAAAGGCTTGGAACTGAATGAGCTTTAAGGTCCCCTCCAACCCAAACCATTCCATGGTTCCCTTGCCTCAATTTCCTTTCTGACAGTCCTTCAATCGGTGTCTATCCTGATTTAAGCCAACCAAGACAAGCAGCAGCCAAAACCAAAGCAATCCTTTTTGGAAGGAGAGTGGATGAGCATTGCGAGGGACCTGGTGCTAAAGTAAGGGCGAGCGGAGGTTGAAATGTAAATGCTAGCTTTGGAGAGCCATGGGAATTGGGTAATTGAAGAATAAACCGCAGAGTCCTCCAAGCATTTGCCTTAATAACCACCCACAGGTGGCTGTTAAAGGAGGTTCGAGGCTGCGTCAGCAGTGTTTGCCTGGAAAGCCCATGGGCACCGTGCCTGCTGCGTGTGCCCATCAGCTCCTGGCACCGCCCCTGGTGGAGAGGAGAGGGGAAAGGAAAGCAGAGACCTTCGAGGGCTTTGCTGCTGCTGGGTGAGGGTTCCTGCTTGCCTCTGCCTTCGGTGGGTGTGCTTGTCTTCCTTGTGTGCCCTGTGTCCTGTGTGTGGTGGGGAATCATCCGCCAGTGTCGGTGCATGGGGCATGTAAATGGCTCTGCTGCTTCTGACAGTGCCTGCTGAAAGCAAGAGCAAAAAGCCTCTTGGCTTCATCGTTATGCCCCATCCCTGGCAATGTTCAAGGCCAGGTTGGACACAGGGGCTTGGAGCAAGCTGCTCCAGTGGAAGGGGTCCCTGCCCATGGGATTGGATTGGGACTGGAACAGCTTTAAGGAGCTTTCCAACACAAACCAGGCTGGGATTCTGTGATTCACAAGGAGAAATCCTGCCTCTTCCTTGACTAACTGTTTACAAGATAGGAATATTTAAGGATGTTGGGATAACTTAAGCCACATTTAAGGGTAACTTCTCTACCCACTAACAAAACGTAAAGGTAATTGCAGCTAAAGGTGAGGCTGTGCATACTGCACTCATGGCTGGCCAACACCTACCTGGTGATAACATCCCATGGGAGCGGTGTCCAAAGAGCGGAGTACACCCAAGCAGTGTGTGCTGTTACCCTTTCCCTGCTGTCTCTGCAAGGTCTGGGATGTTCTTTCTCCCTTTTCCAGGTCTGGAAGATGCCTTGTTGCCCATGGAAAGCAGGATCTCAAGGAAGCCGTCAGTGGGAGTGGGAATGAGGATTTCACCATCTGCTCCCCAACCAGCAGAACAAGCCACCTGCCTTGGGGCTGACGCCGTGTTTCTTAGCCGTGGAAGATAAGGCAGATGCACAAAGTGCTGGATTTGTGACAGTACAGCCCAGTCCCCACAGGAGAGGCACCTTCAGCATGGCCCATACAAGCCAAACTGGTGGAACTGAGAAAAACGGGTCACTGCCCTCCATCCTCTACTGTAAGAGTGATTTAAAGGAAGGATCCCTGCAGTGGGTGAAAGGTAAGTGAGGAACTCGAGATGTAGGAATGAATGGACATCCACCTATAGAAAACCAGGATCCTGGAAGCCCTCTTCTCTAGAAGCCTTTGGGAAACATCACTTGTGCTTTCCAAGTGGCTCCTTTTGCCCATAGCAATTTGCTGTTTCCCTGTACCACTGCTTCTAAAGCCGCCTGAGGTGCTGTGCAGAGGTAGAAGGCAGTGCTCTGAATGCCTGTTCTCACAGACACCTCTCTGCACCATTCAGGGCACCCTTTCTGCTTGCTGGGTGCATGGCACCTCCTTAGTGCCCAGGCTTTGCAGGGGTGAAGCAGCTTTTGTCAGCCCAGAAGAGGCCAAAGAGCTGAACCCCTCTTCAGATCTCTGCTGTCTCAGTTTGGCACCCAACTTGCTAGACTTTGTGCTGAGCATCCTGACCAAAGGAGGACAGGGCAGTCAAGCCCAAGGCTGAGGTCATTTGTTTTAATTCTTGCTTTATACTCACTGCCTCCGCTGCTCAGATGAAATAAACCTCAGCAGACACAGGACCTTGTTATCCTGGAGGTGTCAGATGCATCTGCCCTTCTCATCTTGGCTCGATGCAGTCACACCTCTACTGTAATGTAATTGCCTTGTTTCACTTGGCATCTCCTGTTCCTAAGCAGTGAAGAAAGGATGAGAATGAAGGATGTAAGTGGGAGAGAAAGGCTGAGTTTCAGCCAGCGCAGCATCAGGGAGCAGCCCCAGGGGACACATTGCGGATCTGACCCCGGATCTGCAAAGGGGAAGTGAAGCCGGGTGAAACGTCAGTGAAACAGGAGCTTGGCTGAGCAAGCACTTCCTTAGCCTTCATCCCTTCCTCTTGGTGCAGCCCTGCTTGTGTAAACTCTGTGTGCCAGATGGGATGCCCGGAGATCGCAGCTCTCCCGTGCTGCTCCCAGGTGGCTCTGCCTCAGCTCCCAGCAACCTGCTCTTCAAATCTAGGGCGGGTTCTCCTCATCTTCCCAGGCTCCTGGGTCTCTAGAGCACAACCTTGATCCCAGCCCTAGCTGAGACCAGAGCTGAGGGCCCTGAGCAGAGCCAGGCTGCCCAGGAGCACTGCTGGGGCAGGGAGCTGGATGCTGGAGGGAGCTCAGTGTGAGCCACATCCCTGCCAATGTGGTGGTTGAGAAGCACTTTGATTGCTCAGGCTTTGTTCAGGCTTGTGATGGATGGGGTGGGTGGGCAGTGGGGGACCTCTCTAAGAGATAGGGAGCTCAGAACACCCAACAGCTTGTGTTCGTTGTGCTTTCAGCTAGGAACCAGTGAGGCAAGGTGTTATCCTGCTGATGGTCAGAGTTGTGTTATCTCCTTGCTCATGGAATGCGTTTGAGGTGTCCCCCCTTTCTGTAGGCTGTTTCTTTACAGGGGACATGAGGCTTCTTCCAAAGCTCCTTGTGAAGTCCTTAGAGATGTCCAAGGGGATTCTGGGTCTGTTTGAAACATGTTGGGGTGGTCTGCATGCCTCAGCCTTCCCTTTGTCTTGTGCTGGGAACAAAACCCTTGCCAGAGCTATGCTCATGCCTCCTTTGGGCTCTTGCAGAACCCTTCAACGGGCAGGTGCTCATGGTGCTCAGCATGGACAACAACTGCTCAGCTACCTCCTTTGATATGGAGCTTTGTGCAGAGAAACTCCAGTCCCTAGGGGTTCAGGTAAGCTCCTCATGTGTTATCCCCCCGGGGTCCCTGTAGGAGTGAACACAAATGGGATCAGCATCATTTGCATCTGCACCCACATCACAGACAGCTCTGCTTTATTCTTGTTCTGACAGTCACTTGTTTCAGTTACACTCCAGTCTATTCCCCATGGGCTGCTGATCAGCTGTAATCTTGGCTTAAACTACCATGAAGAAACTAATTCAACACAGTGAGCTGCTTGAAAGTCACTCTGAGGGGTTGGAGCATCCCTGGGACAATCTGTCCTTTGTCTGTTGTTTTGGTCTGTGGTAGCTGTATGGATGAGATTGGAGGTGTGCTGTGGGACACAGTTTGAGCTGCAGTGAAGCCTGGCCCATAATGACTGCCCAGGTTAGGTTTTGATGAGATTTGGAGCCCAAAACTATGGTGTGGGTCCAGTTTTCTGCTTGCTCCCTGAGCAGGTGGCAGCGGAGCAGTGGAGAAGGTTGGTCCAGGATGCTGTTCTGAAGCCTGAAGTGAGACGGTACATGTTCTACAACTCCAGGGCATTCCAGATAGCCATTGCTGTGGTAAGTACTATGCAGCTGGGTTCTTGTGCCCAAGGAAGGAGAAAGGCTTAGGTGGAGAGGAGATGCTGGTTTTCACATTATAGGGGTCTCCTTGGGAAACCTCAGTGCACAGGTTTTCTGTGGATGGAGGTTAAGGCACCATCTCCAGCCACATGCTTCCCACCAAAGCATGGCTGAATAACCAGCCTATACCGAGGTAGTTGTACCTACAACAGGCTCTTTTTTTAACTTGATTTTTAGCATCTGTAGCGATTCTGGTCCTGACACTAATTCAGACCAAAGGACCAGTAAGCCTTTTGATTACTGAGGGATTTTCTAGTTTTCTTCTGGTGAGCAAAGCTCCTCTAGAGACCCCAACCATTAGCATCTACTGGAAGGCCAATACTCTGCAGCGTGCTGAGAATGTGATAAAGTCTGACTCCTTCGTTTAGCTGCACTGATTCTTTTGGGATAGCCATTATATGTGTCTTCTCCTCATTTCCCTAATGTGGCAGGAACTGGTGCTCAGTTTTTTGATGGGTTAGTACCTGTTTAGTGTAAATACATTACATTAGTGCAAAATGATGCTGTAACACAGTGATGCTGTGACATGCTGTGCTGTGTATGTCTTATTTGCTTCTAGGCAATCTCCTTCCCAAATATATGTTCTCCGAAGTAAAGGCCAGTTGAATTCAATTCTGCCTGCCTTTGTGCAAAGGCCAGGTTTGCCAGTCCTTAACATAGTCCTTGACCTCAATGTCAGCATCACCATTTATTGTGATCGAGTAGTGTCTGCACCTCCTAGAGTGTTTTGACACAGGAGCTTTCTAAATGAAGGGACTGTTAGAAGTATTATCAATATACCTTGGTGAGTGCGTTTCTTATCTAAATGGAATAACTCAGTTGAAATCCTTCCTAGGTATGAATCATCCTTAACAGCTCACTCTGTGATGACTGGTAATACTTTATAATAAACTAGGGCGCAGAGTCCTTCTAGTCCTTTCTTTTCTCTATTTATTAATGGAAAAAAAAATCAGCTCTGTCCTTTTCACCTTCTGAAAATCTCATGTGACAATTTATGGCAAGTTATTGCCCTGTGAGGAGGGACTGGTGGATGTTTCTTCTTCCCCTGAGGAGGGAAGAGAATCCTAGAGGAGGCCACGGAGGGGGTGGGGTTGTTGGGGGTGGGGTGGGTGGGTGTGGGGGGTTGGGGGGTTGGGTGTTGGGGTGGGGGGGTTGGGGGGTGGGGGGGGGGTGGTTGTGGGGTGCCCAGAGAAGCTGTGGCTGCCCCATCCCTGGCAGTGCTCAAGGCCAGGTTGGACACAGGGGCTTGGAGCAAGCTGCTTCAGTGGAAGGGGTCTCTGCCTGTGGCAGGGGTTGGAGCTGGAGGAGCTTTAAGGTCCCTTCCAACCCAAACCATTCCATGGTTCTGTGACGTTTCTCACTGTCACGGTTCGTGTCTGTTTCTCTGGGTTTTCACAGGTTTTCTACATGTCTCTCTGGACAAACATTTACACCACAGTCCAGCTGTGCTCCTTCGGACGCTACTGGGAAGCCAGCGTGCTGGTGACCCTGGCTGCTGTAGCAGTCACTGTCGTTGTGATCCTGGTTATTGACCATCGCCAGAGAAAGGTGAGAGGGTGCTGCTTGTGTGTAGGCATAGGGAGCAGGGCTTCCTCCCACCAGAGTGCTGGGATGGGGGTTGAGAACGTAGTTATCTGGGGAAGGAAGGCACGACTTTACATCAAACTAGGAGATCAGGTTATGCAGCCACGATGGGTGTTGTGATACCTAAATGTAGGTCTGGGAGCTGGGCAGGATGGCCAAAAATCTCTCCTTCTTGGAGATAAAGCAGCCCTTGCAGGGCATGGTTCATGTTCCCATTGCTTGTGGGAAACCAAGGGAGCTCACCAGCAGAGCTGGCTCCTGCCCTGCTTCTCATGGTGGCTCTTGGCTTCCCATTGCCTTTAAGAGCTTCATGCACTTGTGGTGCTGGAGCCATGGGGTCGTGGTCCAGGCCCTACCACACTGCCTTGCAGCAGGTCCAGAACAAAAAGGCAGCTCCTAACCCATAGGAGTTGCAATAATGTCATTAACCCAAGGTAGACTGGGCAGCAGAAGGAAAAGAGGAGATGCTGTTAGCACGAGAGGCAATCAACCTGCAGCAGCTATTGCTTGGTCAGTGTCCAACTTTTATTCATAGGAATCACAGGGGTATGGAGATTTCTAAGGAGTGAGCTGAAGAATAATATTGGGAAGGCTTGATCCAAAATCCAGAGGGGTCTCTGCACTGGTCTGAATGGATTTTGAAGCAAGCCTCTAATGACAGCTCTGCAATGATTCCTCTAAGGGAAAACCTGGCAAACGTGTGAGTGCACAGAGGTGCAGGACAGGAGTCCTTTATTTGGGCACTGCTGTGGCATGGAAGCAAGAACATGGTTCTAGAGGTCAAAACCACTGGCCCAAGTTCTGCTGCAGAGCATGTTAACTTCTCTTGTGTTCTTTAACAGATTAATGTGAACACAGACGTGAGGCTGGCCGCTGTCAATGAAGTCTTTATCAAACACAGTTTAATTCTGGGCATTACAGATGTCCTGGATGGGCCACACAGCATCCTACAAGTATCCTTTCTGTAGGGAGCTGTTTGTGTCCCTGCTGGGGAGCTGATGATATGGAGCTATTTGTTGATATTATGACCCATGAGGATTTCCAGGGGGTGGGATGTCTAGGATTTGTTCTCCCATTGGATGACATGAGAGATTGGGGTTTTTTGTTCTATAAATGGGGATTAAGCTATGCCCAGAGGTAATTGAAAATAATACAACTAAAAGATTGAAGTGGGATTAGTCCTTTGGGCAAGACAATTATTCCTGAAAGTGTATTGTACTCACATGACAGTGATGATTCTGAAGATGAGCAGAGTGACAGCAATGGGCCTTTGGCAAAAAACGCCCAACAACAAGAAACCAACACAGAGCAAACAGAAGTCTCCACCCCTGGGCTCATTTGGTGCTTTTCAGAGATACCTTTTCTGCACTAGATAAAGGCTTAGGGGAAATAAGAGTTTCAAGACAGCGTGGAAGTGTTAGAGGAAGGTGAGAGATGCTCCCCCAGGTTTGCTGGTGGACTTCACACTACCCCATGTATACAGAGATGCATGAATGGAGGGGGACCAAGGCTGAAGCACAGTGTCAGAAATGGGAGCAGGGAATGCTGCAGGAGGGCCAGTGGGAGTGAACTTGTGCAGAATGGGGAGGAAACACTAAAAGAACCTGAACTTCATGGGTTTTATAGACCACCATAGTTTTACACTGCAGTAAGTGAGAACTAATCCAATGAACCTCCACTTACCAGTCCCAGAACTGCCTGAAAGCAGAAAACAACCCAAAGATTCAGTTGATTTTGGAAAAAATAAATGGAATTAACCCCTAGAACAAAAGGAAAGAAATCAGGAAGGGGGTTAGGGGAACTAAGTCAACATGACCCTATATTTAGATGTAAGGCTTCTGAGATGAGTAATGGGCAATGCCCTGGTTTATCCCAGTGTCAGCACTAGGCTGCAGAAGGTGTGTAAGGACTGGCTGCCATGTGGGGCAATGTTCCCCCTTCTCCACCACCCCTCTGCCCTTTCCCTTTAGCTTGGCTTAAAATTGGCCCAGTGATGTTATGTGGCTCCTGAGTGTATCCTGGGCATCCCACAAGCACCAGCTACCTCGGTTCTACCCATACCATGATCCGCAGGGAGGGCTGCAGAGGGGGAAGCATGGAAAGACTCCTTCCTTAACCAACCCATCCCAGCTGTGGTTTGTGCACTTCAGCCCGGAGCGCTGCCTCCAGTCCTTATCAGCCCACATCATGGACCTGCAGAGGACCCGGGAGGTAAATGATGCTCGAGCTCTCATGGTGACCTGTGCAGGGCACTCTGATGCCCCAGCTTGGGTGGGATGGAGTTGGGCAAAGCGAACCAAGTGTCTGAGTGTCCTCCTGGCCATCCCCTGCAGTGAACTGGGAGCTGGGCAGACTGGGAGCTGGATCAGCTGCATCTGTTGGTGCCCAGTTCAGCAGGAATTTGTTTAGGTGCTGTGTGTCTGGGTAATGAACTGTATGACTTTAATGAAGGAAAGGCATCAAGAATCAAGGGCAAATCTGGAAAGCACGTGTTGCAATTTGAAATAAGTAATGCCTTGACCTGTCCTACTGCAATGAATGAGATACCTGAGGAGTAAGTGCTGGGTTTGCTGTATGAAAATGATGTCCTCTCAGCCTTCAGGGACTGTTTCCTCCATTTGGTTGTATAAATACACAAACCCCACGTTCTCCTGCACTGGAGGGTTGTGGGATGAGAGGTGAAGGGGGTACAAACAGTCTGAGAATCTCAAGGCGGCTCATCCATCACCATGGATGGCTGCAGATGCAGGTTGGAGGTGAGCAGTCACACGTCATGTCCCGTATTGGCCGATATAACTCATCTGGCTTTTAAAGACTATTTTAAAGACAGGTTTTTCCATGCCAGGCTGTGACCATTGTGCTGGGAGAAGTCACTGAAGAGGCAGCTGATGGCAGCAGGGATGTGGGATGAAGGCATCCAGCTGCAAGCGCTGGCCATGGCTCTTGGGCAGTGCTGCTGTGTTTTACTCTTGGGGTAACTCCTAGGAGTTAAGAGCACGAAGGAGCAAATCATAGAATCATAGAATAGTTCAGGTTGGAAAGGACCTTAAGATCACCCAGTTCCAACCCCCCTGCCATGGGCAGGGACACCTCACACTAAACCATATTACCCAAGGCCTCGTCCAACCTGGCCTTGAACGCTACCAGGGATGGAGCATTCACAACCTCTCCTGGGCAACCCATTCCAGTGCCTCACCACCCTAACAGGAAAGAACTTCTTCCTTATATCCAATCTAAACCTCCCCTGTTTAAGTTTTAACCCGTTACCCCTTCTCCTATCACTACAGTCCCTAATGAAGAGTCCCTCCCCAGCATCCCTATATGCCCCCTTCAGATACTGGAAGCTGCTCTGAGGTCTCCATGCAGCCTTCTCTTCTCCAGAGAGGCTGTCCTCAAGGCACCACTGCCTTCCTGGCTCTGGAGGCCCCAAATCTGTTTCTGTTCCAGCCGGCCCTGCGGCACAGCCTGGATGAGCTCTGTGTGGTTATGGAAGCAGTGGTTTCCCCTGACCTGGGCACGGAGGAGGAGGCTTCACGTGAGGAGTCCCCTCTGTTATCCAGTGGGGTGAACGTAAATAAGGAGCCTGTGACATGCAATGAGCTGCTCCACCTTGTTCCTGAGGGCCCACCAGAGGTAAGGAGAACTAATATCCCTCCCTGAGGAGCAAAGGTACCAAATAGCATCTCCAGACACCTTTGATTCCAAAACCCATCCCAGCAGCCCCTGGCCATGGGGAACACCTCCTTTATCACTAGTAGAAGCTCCTGGAAGCTTGGACACACTGCCTCCAGCCCTAACAGTGCTGAGTAGTAAATGAGTACTGAGCAGCTAGTGCTTAATCCTCAAGGAATTAAAGGATTGGGCTTTGCCTTGCTGGTGGCCGGGGTCCCTGTCTGGAAGGCAGGGGTCTGTGCAGAGACCCAGAGCCTCTGTTCGGGCTGGGGACGAGGCCTGGATGTGCCCAGCCTTTGTCTCCTCCATGAATGTTCTTTCAAAGACTTGTGCCATGCTGAGCAGCAAACGTGGCCTCATTCCTGCTCAGCAAGAAGCTTCAGATGGGATGATTTGATTCATTTCACAGTTTTCCACTCAGTGTTACCAAGTGAATTTGGTGCAGGTGATGTCCCTGCAGGTTGAAGCTCTAGAGGCAAAACAAGGCAATCGGAGGCAGGGACAGAGCAGGCAGGTCCCCAAGCAGCCTGACTGCTTGGCCACCCACTGGTGGGGTCATGTCACACCAGCACTGCTGACCAGACGGGGATCTGGGACAGTTATATATGCTGTTGGCTTCGCTCCTGTTTCTGTCAGAGAAGGACAGTCCTTGAATGGGGAAGCAAATGGCATTTAATGTGTCATTACTTGTCCTCTGACTCCTTCATTGCTTGTTCCAGGCGATGGCCCAGCAGCTCCTGGTGCTCTTCAGTGGATGCTATGTCCGGCTCCTGGTGACGGGGCGGCTGCCCCGGGCCGTGGCAGGGGGGCACCTGGAGCAGAGCAGCGTGCCCTGTCTGTGCCAGTTCATCCAGAGCTCTGTGCTCAACGCCCACCGGAGCTGGTTCATGGCATGGGGACCGGAGGGGGCTGCAGTATGCAGAAAGGCAAGCTGTCCATACACAACAGTGTGAAGATGTCATGGGGCAGAGAGGACGGCTGTGATTGCTCACCCTGCACTCAGCTGGATGAACAAGTGGAAGTAGGACTCTAATAAACCATACAAGACACTCGGTGCCCGCTGTGGTCCAGTAGAGCTCAAAGGGCTTCACTTTGGACTGCTATTAGCAGGGTCACAAGGTGATTGAGTTTAGGCATTAATCTCCATCCTGGCCACAACTTAATAATTCCTAGAAATGTCTCAAAACTCAGTACCAATGGTACTGTTCCACTTGGGTTATGATCAAAGGAAGGCTCTCAAGGGGTGACTGATTGTCCCAGGTATCGCTTCCCACCTTACTCAGGGACCAGGAGTCCTGGTTTGGTCAGTTCCTCTTCCTTAGCCTCCTTAGTTCCTGTTATGGTCAGGGGTGCTTCACCATCCAGCTCCTTGCACAGAGGCCAAAGCCTGACAGGAGTTCCTGAGCGCGTGGAGCAGCCTAGAGGATGAGGTGAGGGATGCACTGCTACAGCATCCCTCCATTGTGTGCATCCCATCCTGCCACTGGGTATCTACCTCTTGTGTGATGTTGTACCAGAAAGGTTTTGGTACCGAAGGCCAAGCATCGCTCAAGGCAGCAGCAGGGGATCCAGACCTTCGCACTGGTGCAGCCCCTGCATCTAACACAGCTCAGGGGCTGGTGTGCCCAACCTGCCTGCTGGTCAGGCTCCCCTTATTGCAATGAAACACCCAGCACTTAACTGCAGAGAAGGGGCTCAATTGCTTTGTTCAAAGGAGGAGCTGATTCCTCTCCCTAATACAAACAACTGCCTGCCCTGATCTTTCTGTGTGGGGCCTCTGAATGTCTGGTCTCCTGCTGCAGGCCAATGGCTGTGGTTCTGCTTCACCTTCATAAGCACTTGACTAAGGCATTAGCGAAGGGAGACATCCATTTTCCCCTCACCACATCGCCCCATTAAGGAGCCAGATCCTGTTGTTTTAGGGGGAAGGAGGTACTCCAGAGATTTTATAGGACCCATTATTCACGCAGTTCCCTTTCCTCCCCTTGCACACAGCACATGTGAGCCGAAGGAAATGGCTCAGCCCTACATCTGCCCTGCGGGTGCCCTGGCAGAGGTAGGAGACCACAGGGCATGATTTGAGCATTGTGCTCGTGCCAGGGTGCAGCTCTGGGCATGTTTGCACCGGAGCATCCAGGAGTGACTCAGCTGAGCCAGTCAAACGTATTGATGGGGCAGATCTGTCCTGAGCTGAGGTTTCTTTGTCTGCTGCCCAAAATGATTCCATTTTGACAACTCTAACACCCGAGCAGCATGGATGGGTGATGTGGGAGCAGCCTGGTGCAGGGATGAGGAGCAGAAGGGTCTGGAGGAGCAGCGGCTCTTGGGGGTATCACATGAGTGTTCTGCAAACTCGCAGTGATTTGTGTGTTTAAAATGGGCCAGGATAAGGCTGGGGAAGGTTGGCAACAAGGAGAGCAATCCCTCACTGCCAGCTGGGTGTGTGGTGATGAAGTTCAGTGCTTAGCAGGGTGCTGAAATAAAGAGGAGTGTCACGGTGCGACATAGCTCTGGGGAAGTGGTGCTTTAGGAGGAGGCATTCACCCACCCCTCTGACTGCCCCAGGGTCAGTCTGGCCTCCCTTCCAAAGGCTCATCCTCCCTGCCAGGGTCTGGAATGCAGCCACAGCATTTAAAGGCAAAACCCAGCAAGGGAAGGTAAAGCAGATTCTGCCTGTTACAGTCCTTTTGCAAGGAGCCCGGCTCTAAGAGACTGTGGATGCTGGAGCACAGGCAGGGAGGGATGGGGACCAGCACATCTCCCCTTTAGGCAGGGAGAAGAGATGTAATCCCTGTGACAGAGGAGGAACAGCTGGGGATTATGCTGGACCTAGGGCAGGTTATGTCCAAGAGTAACAGAGGAAACAGAGAGCTCTGGATTTAATGGGCTGGAAAGGAGCTAGTTACTGTGTCTGGCGTCCTGGCTGTGTTTCAGACCACTCCATCACCAGCCTTGCTTCCCCTTCACACGCCAAGGCCATACAACAGGCTGAGCATTTACTGTGCAGAAATCCCCCCAAGACCTCTTGCCTCAAACAAGAGGTTTCCTTACTGCTGGTAACCACTCAAACTGTTTTCTGCCCAGCTCAGCAAAGCCGTTCTCTTCTGTCAGCCTGTCCTTCTCTCTTTATCTGCAGTGGTTTTATTTCTTCACCGCTGGCTTCCTCCTTCCTTCCCTCCCATAGCCGTGTTGCTCCAGTAGCACTTGGACACACATGGGGTAACAGGAGGCTCTTGAAATGGAGAAACACTCTGAGCACTGGTTTTGGGCAGCAGCACTGAGGGCTGAACCCACCATGCCATTATGTGATTTGAGCTTGGCTGGAGGAGCTACCTTTGGAGCTTTGTGGCTGATGGAGAACCTGGGTTTGAGGTGTTGGGGCTTAAACCTTGTGCTGTGATCTCTAAGCTGAGCTGGAGAAGGTCACTGCAGTGTGAACTTTGTGTGGAGCAGGGGAAGAAAAAGACATTCCCTCTCCTTTCCTACTTCTGTCTGGGCTCTGCAGGGATGAGAACGTCCTTCCCTACCCAGCCAGACCTTCAAACCTTCTTGTACCATGTCCCATCGCACGCAGGCTGACATACCCCTAGCAGATAGGGATAGAAGCATTGGCCTTGGTTTCTCCAGGGTCCTTCCACCATTCCATCTCCAGAGCACTGCTTGCTTTTGTCCCCAGGGTCACTGCAGCCATTTACTTACAAAATGCAGATTTTTGTGCAAAACCTTGCTGTGGTTTATGCTTGCTGATTCCATTAATCTTGATGTTAGGTGGATTCTGAAAGCTTCTGCTTTGAGAAGGACAATGTGCTTCCTGTTCCAAACTCAACATTAGTCTGATTCAGGCAAATCAGACTTTGGTTTTGGTGGCCTTGCTATGGGGTTATAAAAGGGTGGTCAGCTGTGGTTGATGGAGAGCAGGTATTGATTCTGTCGGCACTGAAAGGCAGCAGCCTGGGCCACTGCAGAAGAAAGAGAAGGGTCAGTGTATGGTACAGAGGGAGCCCTTGGGGTTGTTCTGCTGCTCCACGTCAAGAGATCTGAGTGAGCTCTGATGCATGGGGCTGAAAACTGTAAAATGCTGCATAGAAACCTTTGGTTGAGCTGATGCCCCGGCATGCTGCTTGTGGTGGGAGTGGAAGGCAAGGTTTTGTGTGGACATGGAGAATGATGTCTGTTCTAAACCACAGAGGACTCCCCATCACATCGTGGTTTGTCACTGGAGCCTGCAGGAGCGTGTGTCATAAGATGTGTGGGTGTTAAGAAAGAACTAAACTAAAGAAAATAACCCCCAAACCCTGAGCATCCCCCTCTAGAGCTCATCCCCAAATCCCCCTCCCAACCCTGTCTGGAGGACCCCATCTTTCCATTTCACACAAGAGCTCACCAAGACAAGAGCAATGATTCCACCCCAAGCCTTGTGCCTTAACAGATAGTGAAGGCATCTGGAGGAGTAAACTGCTCTTTGGAGGCTTTCCTTTCAGTTGTTTGGTTCCCCCTGCCTCCAGACCCGGTGTTCCAGATGGGTGCCATCCTTTGCCAATGTAGAGCTGACACCTTGGGTTTACAGATGGAACCCTCTAGATGGTGCTAAGCTAAAGAGAAAAGTGAGTGGCAAGAGGGAGAGGTTGTCCTGTGTCACTGTCTCTGCAGGTCTTGCACTGCCTGAGGTCTCCTGGGCTAGGAGAACATCTCTGCTTGCTGTCAGTGATGCACCTATGCAGTTCTACATGTGCTCTTCTATGGAGCTCACCATGTCTATTTGCAGCAAATACTTCTCAGGCCCTTACTTCCACTTCATATTCCCAGTGCTGGAGTGTGAGATTCCACGACCACATCATGATTTTAACCCATGCATCTGCCACTACCCATGCACTACATCAGACAAGTTGTTTTTTGATGGCAAAACATCTATCTTAACTATTCTTTCTGCTTCATTCATTTTTACTGCACTGAACAACTACAGCTACTACATCAGCTGAGTCCTCTCCTATCTCATGCATCATTGTGCAAAATCTTCACCAAATTCAAGCACAAATAATGTATGATTTGTTGATGTGACCAACCAGAGGGAGAATTCAGGCACAGAATGGCAGGAATCGTTGAGGATTAGCTGTGAAGTCTGCTACATCAACAGCTGAACAGATTTTACTTTGGAGTCACAGATGGGCAGTAAATTACTGAAGAGAGCATTTTCAAGAAGAATAACCACGTTCAGGTCTGTTTTTCTTTTGACTAAATATACATAGGGAGAGAACAGCTCTGCTCATCTCAGCAGCATGATACTGATACAGTGCTGCTGGGAGACAACTAGGTTCCTCTCACTGTGCCTTCTCTGCAGAAGGAAAAGATGCTCATAGCACTGATGGCATTAAGGCACAACCTGCTGCTTCTCACAGGGCTCCAGGAGGCAGCTCTTAAGGCACAAGCAGCCTTGGTTCAACTGGAGCCAAGGAGTGTTCAGCTCCCATCCAGGTACCTGACCTAGAGAGCAAGCTGACAAGTGGGTTTTGGTGTTTGTGCCATTCCTGCTGCCCTGATATCACCCTTCCCTCCATCTGGAGAGAGGCTATTGCAGGTTTTACTTTCTCTCCAATCCAGGTTTATTGGCCTGAGCTTTGAACATGGTCTCTACTGATGGAGTGGTGAAAGGCTGCTTCTGTCAAGCTTTTCTTCCAAGAATGGCTCAGGTCTACTCATGAGGAGCCTATAAACTGGATTAAGAGCCCAGGGACAGGTTCTCTACTGTTTGAAACCCCAAATCTGGGCTGAGCAGACAGCTCAGTCCCCTTTTAAGCAGCAAATTATGGTCCTAAGTGCTCAGCACTGTGCATGAGCCTGCTCGAGGCTGTGTTTTCTCAAAGCACAGCACCCAGTGCTCAGGGGTACTGAGAAGATCAGGGCAGGTACCTGAGTGCTGACATGAGACTTTTCTGAAGATGAGACTCCTCAGGTTCCTGCTTCTCCTTCTCAAGAAGTGTAAACACCTCTTAAAAATGAGTTGTCAACCCTTGGGCTGCAGGCAACTTATCCATTGAAACCTCTGATGTAG